GCCCGGCGGGGGACCCCCGCACCAGCCCGCGGGCGGCCGAACGGTGCCCGCGCCTGCGGCACAGAGCGGGGGCGGCAGCACCGCCTCCTCGGGCGGCCGCAGGGTGTGCGCGAGTGTCACCGCCGCCCCCCGCTCACCCCGGACGGGCTCTCCCGGCTTTGTGCTGCCCAGAGCGCCCAGTGTCCCCAGTAACCCCCGCCGAGCCTCGCGCGTGGCGGGGTGGCCCCAGGCTCCGCAGCACCGGGACTGTCCCGGCTCACGCACCGCTGCGGGACGGTTCAGCACCGAACCGCGCCCCGGGAGCCTCATCCTGCACCGGGAGCTCCACACGTGCTGTGGGTTGAAAACGAAAGGTCCAGAAGAGGATGGGAGGTCGGGGATGTCGGCAGGGCCGSGGAGAACCCCCGGGGCTGGCGGATGGGCGCACAGCGGTGCTGCAGGCGCAGGACGGTCCGTTTGGAAGCCTCTCCCTTGGATTGGAAAGGCAAGCGGGCATTTCGGACAGCACCACCCAAACGTTGATGGGAACGCTGTCACAGGAGTAGGAAGAGTGTTAATAAACATTACTGTTATTGGAAATGCTTTTTTATTTTCTGGGGCGGGGGTGGGGGGGTGGGGAAGTGTTTCCTAAAGGTGTTGGAAGTCGGCATTTACTTGTCCCCTTTCTGAACAGCATGCCCCAGCTTCAATCTCTGTCTCAAGTATGCAGTGTCCTGACCTCTCCYGCTTTCTCCTGGGCTCTGGGATCAGCACTGTCTCACAGGATTAGAAATAAAATGGAGAATAATAAGAGGAGAAAGCACTTCGATGTGTTTTTTTGAAAAGGGCCTGGTAGGCTAAAGGYTCTCTTCCAGTGGCAGTGCCATTGGACAGGAGCATCTCCAGCGCGGGAGGGGGATTCCCTCGGTGGAGCTCGCTGCCGTGGCTGCGGGAGAGCCCGGTTCGCTCCCCGCCCTGCCGGTGCTCGGGGCGATCCTCACGGGCTGTAGTGACGTGCCCGGTGACCGTATCCCGGCTGTGGACACCGAGCGGCAGCGGCTCCCCGAGCCCCCGGAGCACAGGGACTCGCTGGGCCCAGTGCTGCAAACAGCTCACGCAGGAAGAGCCCCGGCGCAGGACGGGCCTGGATTTATGTCGACATAAAAATCTGTTGGTGGGGCAGTGTGAGGGAGCAGCATAGGAAGAGTGAGGCGCTTGCTCCTGGGAAAGCAGGAGGAGGTTAGGGATGTGTTTGTGTTCTAGAGTGGCTGGGAGCAGGTTGGTTCGGTACCAGAGAAAACAGCATTAACAGGTTCTCCCGCAGACGCGCTGCCTCCTGCTCTTGCCTGCACACCTCTCTGTCTTTTCCAGGCAGTTCCAGGACACCTTCCCGGCGTGGTCGTTGTTTTCTTCTGCCCTGCAGTRACAAAATGACTGCATAGAGTGAGATAAAGTGACCAGAACAGGGTGACTTTAATCTCCAAAACAGTCATCCTGTATTTTGACTGAATATCAAAAAGGTGCTACTTTAAGTTCCTCATGACAAAGTCGACTTTTTAAGAACTGGGCTTTTTTTCATTGCAGTTAGTCCTTCCGTGGTGGCATTCTACTTGCAGAGTTTGTTTCTGGTTTTCTTACTACCCATCTTCATGGCCCAAGATCTATGTCGGRGTTTGTCATAATTTTACTCATTGTAAGTTTTGTACATTACCTCTGTTATCTTAGACATTAATTTAACATTGGGGTATTTCAAAAATTATTTCTCATCAGTTTTAGTTCCTTCCATTAASTCGAAGGTTTAATGAATTTCACTCGTGTTCCTATGGACTATTGTTGGAAAGCTTGTGAAGAGAGCTAAAAAAAGCAAAATAGGCAATGTTGTGTAGAGCAAAGCTCACCAGAATTTACTAGCTGTGTCAGGTGAGAACATCACTGTTGCTTAATTTAAATGTGAAGAATATAACCTTCCTCTTTGGTTCCTGAACAGTGCTTCGTTTGAGTATACAGGTACAGAGGGTTTTTTTTTGAAACAAGCATCGTAAGGCTCGGGTTCATAATGTATTCCAATACACAATGCTTCTTCATCTTATCTGTTTTTATTTTTTACCATTATTTTCCACTTTAGGAAGCAATAGGAGGAAAGCTTTAGAGCTGTACTTGAACACAGATGGTATGACGGCACAGCATTTGCTGCAACTTGTTTCAAGTTATGTTATAGAGTTCATTTTTAACATAAGCTAAAAACCTTTATTTTGTAGAAAAGTCTCATTGAAATGGCAACTACCCAAATATAGACCATACGTTTTCAGAGCTACTTGAATATTTTGTGGTAACATGATGAAAAATTAATTGATGCAGGAATAATTATAACCCTTAAAAGTGCATAAARAACCCAGACTGGAGCATGCATTAGATGAAGCACAAGTGTGTACTGCTTTTTGATGTTTCCAGGAAATATAGGGGAACCCCTTGTGAAGTAGGCTGCAATAATGTAGRCAGTRTTAATAGTTTTGTGGAAGGAAAACATCAGTCCTTTCATTCTGTCCTTTCTATTATTTTTGGTTTTGGCGTGAATGGAACATCTCCTGCAACAATCCTAATTGCCACTAACCATAGTTTTTGTTTGCTTGCAGCCCCATGCGTCAATAGATGCTGCACTCCTTGCTCTTTAAGTGYGCTATTTTTGCCAAACACTGTTTCCACTCCTCTGGATTTCATAAATGCTGCCATTTGAAACAGATCCAAGGAATTAGACATTACTCACCTTTGCATAAGCTATCTCTTGAACAGATACTGTCCTGCTGTCTTCTATTCTTATATTTCCTGCACTTTTTAAAACATTGTGGAATGTTTTATTTTGTCTAGCTTATTACAGTTTTGACCAGGAAACTTGGTCTCTTAAAAACCWAGGCTTTAAGCAGCTTTCCTGTTCCTCAGATGCATTTTCTCTGTTGCTCTCCTCACAGCTTTTTGTTCGATGACTTGCACTTTCACTATCTCAGACTGTCAGGCGGCAGCCAGCAGCAAAAACTCATTTGTAGAGTTAGAAACATTTGCATATGAAAGTACATATATGCATGTTTACTTACACTCATTCTCACTTTACTTTCTTACATGAGAAGAAATGGAGGGATGGGGAGGGGAAAAAACTACTCCAGATACCTTTTATTTCCTCTCTAAAACAGCTTTTAGTTCTTCCCTTCCATCTTTTTCCCACAAGTGCTTAGTTATTCTTTCTTGTGCTTAAACATATTTAGTTGAAAGTAGAGGAGTACAAGGTAGGGTTATCCCCATACTAGTAGAGAATAGCAGGATTTTTGGAGTGTCACCCTCGCATAGACCAGGAATGACAACACAGGAAATGCATAGGAATAGCTCTTAGKAGTCAGTGAATGCTCTCAGGAGTGGAGGGCTCAGTAGCAGTGACTCTTGGTGCTAGCCATGCTGCTGCTAGAAAATGGAGATGTTCTGAGTTACTGTTGGTTAGTCTTTGTGTTATTTTTTTTTTCCTGGGAACAGGAAAATGAGGAAAGGCAGCCTAGCAAAGGGCATTTCCCCAGAGACCAGGAGATGATTCTGCAAATTKACGGCCTGCAGAGGGAAGAAGAGTTGGCAGCTCTGTTGTGTGCTCTCCTACTGTTAAGAGCTACATTTCCAAAAGCTGCTTGCTTAAAATCCTGACTATTGTGATTTTGTTGCATACCTTTCTGTGCWGATTCTCAGGCTACATGATTATATGCATATGGGTGTATTTTTATGGAGCCTTTGTGTGCTTCTGTAGGGTTTTGAACTTCTTTCCCCCTACTAAGCAAAAGCAAGATCACTTAATTATTACAACTGTTCTGGAATAAAACATTTATTGACATTTTTAAGAATGTATCCTACCTATCTTTATTTCTTTCTTTGGCCACTACCTGTGATTTGCAAGCCAAACTTCAAGTTTTGCACAAGTGAATGAGATATTTTGTTCATCTCCTTCATAGTCTGATTGTGATTTTGGATCAACTGATACCCTTCGTGCTCAGGATACTCTTGTAGGTTGATCCAGCTGAAAGACTTTAGTGAAGGATGCATGCATTTAGAGTGTTCTTTTCTTTTTTGTGCCCTGCCCCCACCCCCAGTGTTCTAAAATGAGTCAGATTCTGACTCTCTGTCTGGTGCCAGTGACAAAACATATGAATTGTGGATAAGTCTACTATTTCCCATCACTGAATGGAAAGTAGTAGGAACCGCTGGATCTCACATGGCCTTTCTCTCTGCCTCATCAAACCTTCTGTAACCTCTTCACCTGTTTGTTTGTAGTCTAGTTTTTAAATAAAGATTACAAATCTAGTCAAATAAGCACTGTACCAATGAGTCCTGTGTAAGTAGTCCTGTACCTTGGATTCAGATCCTCAAATGATTTTGTATATGGATGGATTTAAGTATACATATTAGAGAGTTAGTGCATGGTTGGAAGTGTCCCTMAGGGTCATTGCTCCCTGTCAGTACAATTCATCTGTCAGTACAATGCGAAGATCATTTCCACCAAAATAATTTTTAAATGTTTGCAAGCATCTTGTCAACAAAGTGACAAGGATCCAAGAAGGATGTCAGTATATCCACCAAATAAATGGCATAGAAATGATGAATTGTAAGTTACCACGTTCTCTGATTCTGAAAAAAAGGTGATGTAAAATGGCAACTGCCTTCACAGAACCTGTCACCAAGTGATGAAGATAAATCAGTGCTGTTCTTTGCTTCCTACTGACCTTTCTGAGAAAGGAAGCTAGATGCTGCTCTTCCTTGTTTAGAAAAGGCTCCTGAAACTTATGGAAGACTGTAAGTTTGCAGAGGGGTCGCTAAGAGCTGAATTTACTCCAAAGAACTTTATTTCTGACACTCAGTGTATGTGATGGGGGAAAACATCAGGAACTGGCTGCACTTACAGGGCTGCAAAAACTTCCAATAATCCATTAGCTGGACGGAGGGTTTGAGAGGTCTGGGTGGTGATGCTGTCACATGCATATATGTATGTTAGTTTGTATGTATAGATCCTGAATCTCATTTATTTCCCTCCAATGCAGTGTTCAAATACATTGGTGACATTGYAAAAGTGTTCAAATTCTTGAATTGTGAGCTCATTTGGAAAGAAAGGCATTGTGCCATTGCTTTGGATGCATCTGCTTTTTCAGGGAAAGTCCAGTTTTGTTTCTGTACCTACATTGATCTTACAATGTTAGATATGAACTCAAAAGCTGCATGTAAGAACAAAGTTCATCACTGATGAGTAAGGTTGATTAATCAGACTATTTTGAGATGCAGCGAGTGAGCAAGTGTTCGAGGGATGTTGCTGYAGTCATCAGAACTTTGAAGAAACCAAATGAAATATCCCCACCCCAGCAAAAAGAAGGAGATTTAACATGAGTGTTTGGGAACACTGGGCTAGACAGAGGCCTGCAAGTGGAATATATATGGTTTATWTATTACTATTTTATTATATTCTCATTCCTGTGCGATTGCCTAATGCTGAGGTACTCGCATGTCTTCCAGAGACAGACTGAAAAAGCCCATCACATCTATTTTTATCACCATTTCTCCCCACAGGAGGCCAGATGGGTGGTGCTGAAATGTGCCTGCTGTGCCCTGGGATGCAGGAAGGCGCTTGGGCACCTTCTCCTCTGGGAGAACTGACTGAACCTGAGCCCTCTGGGGCGCCAAGTACGAGTTCGGGTGAGCTTAGCATGGTGGTGTAAATTARCTGTGCATCAGTCTTATCCCAGTCCTACACACAGGGCTGATTTACTGAATTTCTGAATCCAGAGTAATCCTGTTCATTTATAGATGAATACAGTTCTTTACCCTCTGCAAACAGCAGCCACTGGGATTTGGGAAATCAGAACTGCTTTAGCTTGTACTAATTTCCAGTATGTGTAACTGTTCTTGAGTGAGCAGGATAACATTTAAAAAGTGTTGCCAGAAGAGACAGGATGTCTTGAAGCAAACTTGAAGCTAACATCATTCTATTATACTTACTTTGATTTATTTTTGGACTTATTTTTTATTTATTTGCGCTTACTAGCTAATGTTATTTTAATGTTGATTGTCAGGAGAAAGGCTCTGTAATGTCTTGGTTCAAATCAGTTGTGTCACTTAATTCCAGAGCTTCTCACATGCATTTATCGTGAGTTTGTCTCTTATTTTTAAAGATAAATTATTTATTTTCTTTGCATTCTTTGGAAATAGAACATAGYTGTTGAAGTTGAAGGGATTGGAAAAAAATGCTAAGGTGCAAGTCTCGTAGGGTATGTTCTGAAGATTTCTGGAGGACCTAAAAAATGAAACACCATAGCTCCTATAGGATACATGTCAGCTTCTAAACTCTCACTGTAAACATTTTCCATTAAAAGGATCAACCGGTAACATATTGAATTTATACGTCTATAAGGTAATTC